CACAACAGATGGGTATCACACTTTAGGTGCTGACTGTTGGCTCAATAAGAAGCTTTTCCAGGCTTAAAAAAAAAACCTCCTTTACTCTCAAGTTATGGCAGAGTCCAACTGCACAACAACCTCATGCCGAGGTGCCACTTCTGCCAACCTGCCTTTGCCAGAGCACCTCCAGAGCAGCCACCCCTGGCCAGGAGCTCACTGCCACCAGGAGATCCTACGGGTTATGGGGAGATACATAAACATTAATGACCAAACCCCACCTAGGGATGCTCAAAACACGATGACGACTCTCCACCCACACAGCTTCTCCCGTGTGGTGTGGGCTCCGTGCTCCCCGACACGGAGGAGACACAGCATGAAGGCAACACCGAGGGGTTGGGACTGCCCAGCTGGTTTGGTGCAGCCAGGTTTGGCTCAATGTCTTCTTCAGGTGCACAGAAAGATGTCAGCCATGCGACAAGTGAGTGCTGCGCAAGGGGGCAGTCCTAAAAATAAAAATAACAGCCCCAACCCAAACAAAGTAAAGTTGCTTAACTCAACACATCCATCCAGCTTTACACCATCCAAATAACTCTAACCTCACCCCTCATCTCCAATTCCTCCCACTCCTTACACTTAAATGACAATCCCAGGCCTGTGTGCACCAATTTTTGTGATGAAGTGACAGGGCCCCTGGCAGAGCTCAAATCCTTTTTGCTTCTGAGACCTGGAGGACTACACAATTTTCTACACAGAAGAGGGAAGTCAAGAGTAATCTAAACTGTTAGCCCAAATTATAAGATTATATACCCACTTACATAAACATGTCAAGGTCCAACTAACATAAATATTTACTTTCAAAGTTCATTTTAGCATCAAGCTCACTACAGGAGATGCCAAATTTGTGAGAAAGCTGCAGAGATATTAAGGTTGTAAGAGGTCTATCCATCTGTTGCTTCAAAAAACCTTCCCAAGGCAGTAAAACTTGTGCTGCACAGATTAACTGGGATTGACAGAAGAGAGAAAATTAAATTAGAGGCAGAAAAGAAGAAGGGCAGTAAATTATGTGCAGTTTAGATCCCACCAGCCTGAAACATATGCTCCCATAAACCAAATTTCCACAAGCCTCAGAAGCAGGTATGCCAGATGAAATCCTTCTATTTTATGGCACAAGCAGGACTTTTTGGAAGCTGTTTTACCTGCACAAGCTGCACAAATACAAGCTACTGAAGACCCTCATCTGCCCTATCACCCTTGCTGACACAGCCTTCCCCTCTTCCGAGATTAAACGCTTGACTTAGCACCCGTCAGCGGAGCACAGGTGGCTGCTCAGGGCTTGCTGAACACCAGCAGTCCCTGCCAAGGGAAAACAGCAGGTCTGAGAGGAGTAAATTTAACCCTAGATGCTACATCTGTGGGGCCAGGCTCCAAAGCATCCCCCCTCAAGGGTCAGGGCAGGAGGTTTTTCCCACCTGGCCACATCTCCTGCATCAGGAGGAGGTTTGGTGGCTGTTGAAGGACAAAACCCCACGGCACAGGGAAAGATTCCCTGGGGATCTGGTCTAGCCAGGGTCACCCCAGTCCCCCCAAATAACAGCTGCAAGCTCCAGGTAGGAGGTGCAGTAAACTCCTGGCAGAGGGATGGGCTGAGGATGATCAGATGAAGGTGGAGTGAGGTCCACCCATCACGCCTCTTGTTTTGCTGCTCAGAGAGTTCCCCACTGCTCTACAAAGTAAAGACACCAACCAGCTCAGCAGGGGGAACTTCAGACCTGCCCAGACCCCCTCCATCACATTTTCAGATGTTTTGCAGCGATCAGGAGACAGGGACAGGGCAGCAGGGATTCTTCCACACCACCAAGCTCGCCTGTGGCCTTAACAATTTCAGGAAGCATCTTCTAACCCTCTAAACAGAGCCCTCCCAAGAGGAGGAAGCAGATGGAGAAAGTTATTTTCCCCCCTTGCATGACCTGCTTTAATAAATGCACACTCAGTTCTTTTCTGCCTCTTTTTACTGAGTTAAGCACGGGCACGGAATTTCTGGGAAGTTCACGGTGTCGGCGATCAAACCTCTTGTTCATGCAAGAGCCCAGGGATTTATGAGTGCCAAGTGCACTCATTAGAGGAGTGGGCTGGTCGTTCAGTAACATCCAGCTCCCTGCCAACTCAACTCAAGTTGGAAATGCAGGAAAAATGGAGGGTTTGGTGCAGCGGATCTTCATCCAACCAACTCCACCAGCCACTGGCTCCGTGACCCTGCTCCCCAAGAAAGAAAAGATACAAATCTTCCTCTTATGCACTTGCTATCAAGATAACCATTGTACTGCTTAAGGATGAAAGACAAAAGTGGATCTTTCTAACTACTCTCACCAAATTAAAGCTGAAGGAAGCTCCTGATAGCTTAGCTTTACTACTTCAGACTTTCTTAGATGTTTATGGTAATTGTCTTCTGGGTAATTTGTTTAAATTTGTGTGTAAACAAAGGGTTTGCACACATCTACAGCCTCACACAGAGTGTGTGTCATTTCTGAAAAACATTCCAGCCATAGTTCACTCTTTTCATTTTCCCCTCAGAGAAAACCAATTCAAGGCCAAATTATGGCATTACCTGCAGCAGGAGCCAGTGCAGCGTCACAGGCCTCTGCAAATCAAATGGCCAGTTTTAATATTTCCTCAAGTGATCCTCAAATGAGAAAAAGCCTTCTGTTTCCCTGCTTCTCTGAATGTCTTTGGGCAGCTGCTCAAGAGGCGTAACTCAGTTTGACTGCACTGGAGGCCACTGGCCATGTGCCCACATGCACCAGCAGAAGATCCCTCCACCTCAGAAGAAGTAATTTCACTCAATTCTCCTCGTTACCTTATATAAGACTCCTTTCCCCCCACTCTATATGTTAATATCCATCAACTTGTACCTGTCCACATTTCTCTTACAGGAATGATTGAGCTAAGGCATGTTTTTTCCACTTTCCAAGTGGTTTTTGGGGATGTTTTTTTTACAAGAAAATGGGAATCAAGTATTTGCAAACTATAAGGTCATAGTCTTCCCTAGGAAAAGGCAGAGGCAAGAGGAAGCCAAGCCTCCCATGAGTGGGGCAGCTTCGACAGCAATTCATGCCCAGTCATCCACTGGCAGGTCCTTCTCTCCTGGTCCTGGTGTATTTGCAAAGCCCATCCCCAAACACACATCATGACTATCCATCCCCAAACACACATCATGACTATCCATTCCCAAACACACATCATGACTATCCATCCCCAAACACACATCATGACTATCCATCCCCAAACACACATCATGACTATCCATCCCCAAACACACATCATGAGCTATCCATCCCCAAACACACATCATGACTATCCATCCCCAAACACACATCATGAGCTATCCATCCCCAAACACACATCATGAGCTATCCATCCCCAAACAACATAGATCATGGGCTCTCCATCCCATAATCATCTCCCTCACCATGTCCCACCCATGCTCCTCATCTGCCAGTGATCAGTCAGATCTGAACTTTCTGTTGCATTCATGCTCTTGCATTTAAATACTCCTCACCCTAAAAAACAACAAAAACCCCTAAACAAGCTAACTCTGGTGTTTACTTCCCGATTTCCACCTGTAGCAACCTGAAACAAAGCAACAATCAGAGTTTTTCTGTATCACATTATTCCCTGCCAACAATACTTTCCAGTGATGCTTGATAAGTCCTGTTTACCCAAACTAGCACAAGTAGAATAACACATGTCAACCAACTGCTTTTTCATTTAGGACCCTTAGCCCAGAGAAGGGGAAGCAAAACGCTTTCCCCATTCAAACAGCACCTACTCATGCCAGGAACACCTCAAGTTAAGAAAACTTGGGTAAATAAAAGTTTAAAAGTTCTGACTCCTAGGAGCTGTTTTACTAGGAATTCGACTTTCTGCTTAAATAAGTGAGGTAAGCCCAGCCAGTTATGTTCCTACTTGTATTAGTTGCATATATGGGATATCATAATAAAAATACGAGTATTTTTATTTTTTCCAGATCCGAGAAGATGAAGCTTTCTGCACTGGCCCCTATGCCTGTGGGAATATAAAGAGAAAACCATGCCTCCCCTCCTAACGTATTAGTGCCCCCTAATATACACCAGATGATCAATAAACTGCATAAAAATTAAATCAAACTGACAGTCTTTAAAAAATGGGCTCTAAGCAGAAACAATTGTTTTAAAGACTGTGGTGTCTGGAGTATTAAACTCACGTGCTGTTGTGTTATTAATCTCTTTGTTGGAAGCCAGTTGATTTCCCCTGCCTGTATCTGTCAATTAAACGTTCAGCATCGCAGCCACAATGGAAGGGTTGATGTTTTGGAACGCAGAAAGTTTTTTTGAGACTCGCTGTTGACAGTTCCCTTAAATGCCACAGCGTCCCCAAAAACCATCTCATCTCCAGAAAACCGAGCGGGCAGGCAAAGCCAAACCTCTGCCAGAGCGCTCCGAAGTTTTAAAGGAATGAGTTTAGAGAGACGGGAGAAAGGAGCGCTGGTAAAGCCGCCAGCAGAGCGGCGAGCGGAGCGGCAGGAGCTGCTGTTTTCCATTAGGAACCCAAACACGAGCCGGGCCGAGCGTAGAGCGCTGCCTCCACCTGGAGCCGGCCCCGGCGCCGCCGAGGAGCCGCCGGGCGCGGGGCCCGTGCCGGGGGCAGCCCCGGGGCGCATCCCCGAGCCCACAGTGCCCCCTGCGCACCGCCGGGCCGCTCCCCTCGGCCGGCACGGCGAGCAGCGAGCCACCGGCACGAGCGCACCGGGGTGCGCGGCTGCCGAGCCCGGCGACCCCCGGCCGCCCCCCGCGCTGCCCGGCCCGGCCCGGCCCGGCCCGGCCCGGCCGCCCCGCTCGCCGCCCGGCCCGGCTCTCCCGGCGCCGCCGCTCCGCTTTTGTTCGGGAAGCGGCGCGGCCGCGCTCTGCCCGCCCGCCGCGGAACTTTCCCACAAGTTTAGTCCCGGGGAGCGGGGAGAGGGGCGCGGAGCCCGCGGTGCTCACCCATGACGAGGCAGAGGCAGTCGAGGCAGATGAGCAGGGCTTTCTTGCTGCTGCTCTTGGCCGGGTTGTTGTTGAGCGCCGGGCTGCCCCCATTCTTGCTCTCCGGCGGGATCGCCTTGTCGTACTTGTAGCTCTGCATTATCGGGGGCGAGCGCCCGGGACGAGCCGTGCCGAGCCGAGCCGGGCCGTGCCGGGCCGCAGGAGCCGCTCGGAGCCGAGCCGAGCCGAGCCGCGCCGCCGCCGGGCTCGCACGCCGTGCGCCGGGGAGGTGCTGCCCGCGCCGCCGGAGCCGCTCCCGGCCTCTCCGGTGGGGCACGGCGAGGCGAGAGAGGCAGGCGGGTCTTCCCGAGGAGAGAGGAGGGGAAAAAAAAAAAATCAAAGTAGAAAAACAAAAACCAAAACAAGCCCCCCCAAAAAATCCCCCGATCACCAGGAAAGCAGCGAAGAGGGGCAGCGAGTGAGAAGTTTGCGGGTTGTCCCAAAGACGGTGGAAAAGTCCTGGAGGAAAAGCCGAGGGGAAGG